CTCTCCTTAATAGCAATTATTTATTTTTAGAAATTTTGTGAAAACAAATATTATAAAAATATGGCAAAATCAAAATACGAATATGTAAAACAATTTGAAAAGAATGATATACTTCTTCCAAATACATGGTTGGTCGTCCGAATAGATGGTCGCGGATTTCATAAGTAATGGTTATAAAAAAAACTAAATTTTTTTGTGATTTTTACACTTTTTGAGTATCGAAGATGATCAACTTAATGATATGATTAGATTTTCAGATCAACATAAATTTAAAAAGCCCAATGATCGAGACGCTTTAGATCTTATGAATAAATGTGCAGTTTCCGTAATGAATGATATTCATGATATTGTACTGGCATACGGACAAAGTGACGAATACAGGTATACTAAAAAAATAAACAACCAAAATCTTCTTTAATATTTTTTTTTTTTATAATTACCAAATCATTGACAAATACCATATTTTTGTAAGTTTTGTACTAAAAAAGGACTGTACACTATACGGTCGGCGTGAAACGTAAATAATTTATTAATATATTCATTATGAATTTTAAATTTTGAGTAATAATTAATTATTTTAAAATTCGAGTAATAATTAATTATTTTAATTATTTTCGCTATTTCATATAATTAGAAAAATTGTTTCTACGATTGTTAGTTTGTTTACATCAAATTATGTCTTTTATTGGAAAAATTATTTTCCGCAGAAAGAATTACTTTATCCTCCTTCATTTGATGGACGCGCTGTATTGTATCCAGATGATAATAACTTTAGAGATTATTTAAGCTGGAGACAAGTAGATTGTGTGTTCATAAATTAAGCGAGACACGCATTTTTTGTTTCTTTTAAATGAAATATATATATATATATATGTGCGTGTGTTTTCTTTTTTTTAGGTCACATCAACAATTTGTATAACACGTGCTTTTGGGCTTTAGTTCAATCAGGAAAGACCGAATCCGAAGCAGAAAATGCGTTAAGAGTAATCTAATCTAATATTTTAAATTTTAGTTTTTAATTTCCTTTTTTAAACATTTTTGATAATTTTTTTTTTTTTTAAAAACATTTTTGATGATACAAAGAGTACAGTATCTTCGGAAAAGAATGAATTACTCTTTTCGCAGTTTAATATTAATTATAATAAATTGCCGGAGATGTTCCGAAAAGGTTCAGTTTTAATCAGAAAAGAGGTCTGTAATTTGAAACCACCATTATTTTATTATTTTGTTAATTTTCTTAGTTGACCTTTTATACTGTATCAATATATTATTTAGGTTGATATTAAAACAACTTGCGAAAATGGAATGGAAATTACAAGGAAAAAAAAAGTTGTATTAATATTACATGATGATATTATAGGAGACAAATTTTGGAAAGAAAATCTTACATTAGGTGTAATAATTTAAATTTAACATGTGCTTAAAAGTTATTATTTTATTATAAAATTTTTATGATAAATAAAACTAATTCATTCTAATAAGTAAAAATGGCTGTATTGAAATTTTGATGACATAATCAAGATTATTCACTCCGAATAAAAAGATTCGCTATTTATATATTCTTATATAACTTTCTTTTTTTTTTTTGTCTACATCGTATATAAAAAAAAATAAAAAAATATAAAAAAGAAGTTATAAATGGAGGATGATAATGGAAATAAAGTGATCATGACTAGTGCTACGAATTTTAAAGGTCGACTTGGATATGCGTACGTTAACCGCAAACGTCAAATTATCGAATCATATATAAAAACATTTTATTTTTACCCCTAAATAAATTCGTTTTCTAGATGTTTAAATGTATATTTAAGAAATAAGAAACCGCCTATATTTTGTTCTCGCACTTGTAGAATTAGTACTATTAAGGAAAAAGGATTAGATTATGTTAAAGAACTTGGTCGACAGGTATTACTTAGTTTTTATCTGTTGTAACAAAAAATTTATCGATTATTAATATTCGATTTTTTCTTTATAGAATGCGAAAGATTTGATGGCTTTATTAACAGTTATTTATTGCGTTTTTTTTTTTGAGTACCCGTTTTTATTGTTTTGTAAAATGGATTTCTTACCTTTTTAGTTTTATTGAATTATTATCCAGTTCAACGAAAGTATGTAACATAATGATCGATTTACGTTTCGTTTACTTGCAATCGATCATCTTACCTTTTGATTAAATAATAATAATAATAAATAATATATTTCAGAGCATAACATTAAATTCATGAGAATCTCGTCTGGAATGTTTCCGTTTGCCAGTCATGAGATATATGGGTAAATACTACTAACTATATCTCAATAAAATCAATAAAAAAAATTTTTTTTTTCTCAAAAAAACGCAAAAATCATGTGATCAATTATCAATATAGATATTCCTTGGATTATGCTGCTGAAGAATTGAAAGTTGCTGGGGAATTCGCTGCACGAAATGGTCATAGATTGGTAATAACCAGATGTTTTTATATATATGAGATTCTGCGCTACATTTGTTTGTAATCAATGTCTCTCTATTTAAAAAGACAACACATCCAGGACAATACAATCAATTAGGTTCTCCACGTCAGGAAGTAATTCAACGTACGATAACTGAACTTATTTATCATGCGGATATGTTAAATTTAATGAATCTACCTTTAGATTCAATAATGATTATTCATATGGGTGGTTCATATGGGGATAAAGTAGCAACCTTAAAACGATTTGAAGGAAATTACAAAAAATTGAATAAAAAAATAAAAAATCGGTTAGTTTTGGAAAATGATGAAATTAGTTATTCTGTCGAAGATTTATTGCCACTTTGTAAAAAATTGAAAATTCCATTGGTTTTGGATTGGTAAGAATAAGAAACTTAAAAAACTTGAAACACTCGAAAAAAACACTTGAAATGAAGATATAGGTTAATTTTTATTATTTTTAATTCTTTATACATCCGAAAATCCTTACGTCTAGGCATCATCATAGGTAAATTAAGTAATTTATATTAGTTTAATGTTCTTTAGTTCGTCCTAAAATAATTTTTATCATAATAATTATTCAGTTTAAATCCTGGAACATTATCACATGATGACTTGTTAGCTCTAATACCAGGTAAAAACTTCAATAATTTTTACTCATAAAAATTCTTTTTCATATTAATATATTATTTATTCTCAGAGATAAACAAAACTTGGACGAATAAAGGATTAAAACCAAAACAACATTATTCTGAAGGTCGTCCGGGAGCTAAGAATGTCATGGAAAAAAGAGCACATTCTATTCGAGTTACGGTAAAATAATAATCGAACTTGATTTTTGCAAAAAAAAAAATTTTTTTATTAACTTTACTAGAATCAAATGAATTTTTTTTTTTTTTTTTTTGAATTAGAAACTTCCACCATGTGATCCAGACATGGATTTAATGATTGAAGCAAAGGACAAAGGCAAGAAATTAGGTCCTTTTTAAATGATAATTTCCTTTCTTTTTTTTTGAAAAAAAAAAAAAATTTACCTTATTATAATACGCAACTCGAAAAATAGAACAAGCAGTTTTTCAACTTTATCAACAATATGGACTTTATCCTGTTGATCCTGAAGTAATCATCCCACCTACAATTAAAACAAATAATATTAGAGGAAAAGTTAATGCTGAAATTGAAGAATTAGAAGAATCAGAAGAAGATACGAATGCAAAAAAGAAAAGGAAAAAGGAAGATAATCTATCGCACAGAGAAGCAAATGTAAGATCTAGTACGCGAAGGTCAAATATAAAAAATATAAGATAATGAGTAAAACAAAGATTCACATATATTTGGTCCTGGACTGTTTTTGAACTAAAATAAACAGAGAAAAAGGAAAAAGAAATCACTGCATATTTTATAAAAGATCAACACAAGAAAAATTGTAAAATCAACTATTTAGAAACGAGAAACGAGAAACATGAAACAGAACGTAAAGAGGAAAAAACATCATACGCTTATCTTACAAAATAAAACATTGAATGAATAAAAAAAAAATTTTTTCTTTTTAGGCCACCCAATATATTCATTCTATTTACTCGTTTAATTTAATCATTCTATTTCATTTTATTACTCATTTTATTACTCATTCTATTTGCTTATTCTGCTTCCTATTTCCATGTAAGGAATTTGATAGTAATGATTGGTAAAATATATATACATATATATATTTACTGAGCATAAATTTTGGTCAATGACTCATAATGGATTATAATAAAAGTGTATTATCAGTTATATTAGGGGAAAAATATTTTATCAACAATTTTTTACTATTTGATGCACTCAATAAATCTCTATAAAAAGATTAGTTAATGAGTTTCTAAATAACTTAAATTTTAATTAATGAAAAAGTAAATAAAAGAATTTATTTATTCAAGTATTTAAAAAAAATTTTAGAACCAAATTTTGATTTTGATTGAATAAAGTTAAAATTAAGGTTAATTTTTCTTTTATAACTTAAAAAGTTCTTTCTATTTCTTGCACATATTTAGTCTAATTTATCAAGCAATAAATTTATAATAATTCCACTAATTGATATTATGAAAATTTTTATAATTAAAAAACATCTTTATAATTATTTCAACTATAAAGAAATTTGAACAAGTAATATTATATGAATTATACAAATTAAAGATTAATTAAGAAGAAAAAAATAAATTTTATTTTCACATTTAATTTTCATTTTTTTATTATAAACTGTAGTTTTTTTTTTACATAAATGCACTTCTATAAAAGTATTCCTTCCTAAATGCACATTATGAAATCATATCAGCTTATATTATATGACCTTGGAATTATTTATTGTTTGTAATTATTTATTGCTTGCAAATGCATATAAACACCCCACTCTCTTTAAATGTATGATTATCCTTGGGCATCACAACAAAGATGCAATTGTTTGAAATTGAATTTTGTTAAAGATAAAATATAAACAAATATGAAAATGAAATAAATAAGTCATATAAATAAATAAAACAATTGAAAAATCAAAATATTATGATGACAAACTTTTTGACATAACACATGATCTGAACTATTTTTAAGCTATTTTTTGAACTATTTTGGTCTATTCGTAATATTGGTTTATTATTAAATATTACAGATAAAGAATTATTTTTTTCAGGTGAATATCATACATCAAAGTTTGTCGTCATTTTTCAAAGAAAATTCTAATGAACATCATATACTTTTAAAAGGAAGCAAAGGCATGGGGCAATTCGAGGCTGTCTTATTTATATGAAGTTGTTCATTCAAAGGTTTAGCCAGATTTACATAAATTTAATTAAAAAAATTTAATACAATAAGATAAGGAAAAAAAAATTTTTTTTTTTCTCCCGGTTACCGATTTTTTTTCGTCCACTCAATAATCAATATTTTCACACACTTGAAAATTTTGGATAATAATGAATACATGAACGGACATACCCATGTTTTAATTTGGTAAATGTTTATTGTTGTAGAAAAATAAAAAAAATTCCTGACCAATTTTAGTACTGTAAGATCTAATCTTATCAAAACATATTTTCATTATGCAGTTAATATGAGGCTTAGATGGATTCTTATTTACGCCATCAGATAAATGAGAATATTTATTTTTCCTCACTTCCGTGTTACCTTCCATAATACATTATTTCATTATTTCATTACTTTCTATTATTTATATACTTTCGTTATGGTTTAGATTGGTTTAATATGATCTTTCGTTAATTTATATCGAAATTAGGAAATAAGACAAATATATTAAGAATTTAAGAAGAATGTACATTATAGCCCTATTATAGGAATTGATGTGACAAAACCATGTTTATTATTATCTTTATTATTAATACTTTTATTATTACTTTTATTATTACTTTTATGATAAAAAAAAAAAAAAAAATATGTTATACATATAAAATATAAAATATCTGATAAAAATATGAATTTAAGTCATTATTTATTTTTAATTTACCGTATTTAATATAAAACATAATATTAAAATCTTTGACATCCCTATCAAAAGCATCTAATCTTATCTTTGTTTATTGTGTGACACGTTTTAAGCAAATCAAAATGCACTTTAAATTATTTTTTTTTACAAAAAACATTTGTAACAATTCATAATTCGTAATAATTTGTAATTATGAGCAAATAGAAAAAAAGTTTAATTTACCCAAGTACAAAACTATCATGCAACCAGCCGACGCGCGTTAACAGAGGAATAAACTTAATTTTATTGATTGTTGAAAATGATGTTTTTCTGTTGTTTACTAAAAATTACATCCCGAATAATTAAATAACGTTTTAGCCTTTCCCCCACAAATTATTTCCTTTACTTGACTTTTTCTAAACTACCCAGTTAAAAGATCGACCAAATAAATTGTAAAGAAAGATATATGACATAATTTTAATGCAACTCCAAATATAGATTATAAATAGATTTTTGAGATGTTACAATAAACCTCCTTTACGGTTTATATTTTAAAAAAATTTATGCACGACAGAATTTGATATAATTTGTTATTGCTTTAATATTTTGATATTGTATTTAAATCAATTGTTCATTTATGGCAAATAGTTTAACAAATAGGTTAACTTATTATTAAAATTATAATATAAGGAAAAAATATATAAAATTAAAAAATTATTAAATTATTTAAATTATTATAAAACATGTTATTCTTCCTAATCCATTTAAAGAAGAATTTTTTTTTTTTTTAAAAAAAAAAGAACAAGCAGAATCTGATAAAAATTTATCCGTGCAAAAAAATCGATAACGATGAATTAGTTAGCGCATTGGGCAATTTGAAAGAAAGTATAAATATCATTCATGTTAAACTAGTAATAAAAGCTTTGCTTCTTGGCGTTAGTCAAAAGAATATAATCATATCATTTTTAATATATAGTAGGAGATAAATGAAGTTATTAAAAGGAGATATAAAATGACATATTGAAATAGGTGAACAATTTTTTAAAAAAAAATCAAAAAAATAAAGATTACAGATATAGATGAAATATAAAAATAAATGAACCAATAATCAACGAATTTTTAACCAATAATATTCGTGAGAATTAGCATCCCCCCACAAACCCACGAACCTAATATAGATAATCGTCCAATAACTACGTTCTCACATAAATTCGATCAAATTGCAAACAAGAAATAAAACAAGTAAATTAAGTGTTATAATAAATAAGTAAGCAGTACATTTTAAAATAATAGTAATTATATGTATATATATATATATGTATATATGTATATATGTTGTAATAATTATTAAAAAAATTATATAATTATTATTATAGATTAATTTAAAAGATAATTTAAAATAAATAAATTAAAATAAATTATTTTATTGATTGTTATTATAATCAAACCCCGCTTAATAAATTAAAAATCAAGATAAAATATTATCTTACATTTAATATAAAAAAAAAAAAAAAACCATAATAATTAAAATAGACAACAAATAATAAAAAAAGGTAAATGAAATAAAAAAACTATAATTATACTAAAACTGATATTAATTTATATTAATTTATATTATAATTTATATTGTATTTTATATTATAATTTATATTGCTTTGGTTTTTTTTTGATACTTTCCCTTTTAAATAACCGAATTACACCAGGATCTTTTTTTGGAGTAGCACCAGATTTTAGATTTTTTTTTTTGATGGGTATATGATCCCTCGCTTCATCTCCTGCTCATTCTTCTTTCTTTCTCTTTTCTGCGGCATTTCATTTCTTCTCTTTTCGCTTTTAGTTTTTTATGTTATACCTATATCATATTGATTATAATATTTAATCAAACTTCCTTTACCATAACTTCTCAATTCCACAATTCACAAAAACAAACGAAATTCTTCATTCTAAAACAAAACCTAAAGAAAAGAAGTTGATCTTATTCCCTTTTTCTATTAATAACATCAAAATATTTACGAATCTCACTTTAAATCATTTCAATTCACTTCTTCTCATCTCCTCATCTTTTCTCATCTCTTCTCATTTCTTCTAGTGTTATATTTTATTATTGTTACGACATTTTTCGATATTATTTTTATTATATTCTACATTTTCACTGTTCGTGAAAATATTTATTCATTTTGACCATTTGAATTTGTGATTTAAATCAATAAAAAAAAATATAAAGATGTATTCCACTCTTTTATCGAATTTTAACCAACTTTCAATAAATTCACCAGGTAATTTATCAAATTTCTTTCTTTTTTTTTTTTTTTTACATTCTTCCATTCGTTATCATTACTTTTGTTTATAACGCAGCAGATTATTTCCTATCAAAAAAAATGTCTTTTTGAAATAAAAACTTTTAGTTTAATATTTCAATTTAATATTTCAGTTCAAAATTTTTAGTTTAAAAATTTTAGTAAATTGTAGTCATTTGTTATTTCCATTGTTGGGCGTTTGTCCTGTTGTACCAATGTTACCTCTTTTATCTTATCTTTCCTTGTTACTCCGAATTCTCGATTTGCTTTACTGTTTGTTTGCCAAGTAACAATCCGCAATTTCGATTTCTTATTTTAGAACAAAATAGGCAACACCAAAATTTCGATACTTATTTGTACTTTCATTATAATCCAGATAACTTGTTGACGCCTACCCGACATTCTTTTTTTTCCATACCGACTCCTCCGAATGAGAATGCTATTATGGACATGTTGTATGAAGGTCAAGATATTGGTGATTCATCTCGTGAAGTTAGCACTAATAATAATAGAAATGATACTTCTGAATTGGATATCGAAGATGAAATATCTATTCCACCTTCCAATATTGAAGCATTAATATCTGATCCATGCATTCGAAACTTCACACGTGAACTTGAAGGTGATAGTTTTTATCACGGTTCCGTAGCTAATTTTCAAAAAGTCTTTTATTTTAACGGTGGCGATTCATATGCGGTACGCATCGATTATTATTTTCCCGGTAACTCTCACATATTTGTGATTAAGCAAGAATATCTTTATTTAATATAATAATTTAACTGATGAAAAATCATTTAAATTCTTAGATTCCACATAATGGAACTCAAGTACAACCAACTTCTTTAAACATAGCTCGTGTTGTTGAATGTTGGCTTAAAGAGAAATTGTTTCACAGACAACAAGAATTTATGCCCATTTTAGAAGAATCCCCACTTGTTGCAACTCAAGGGATCATATCAAAATTGAAAGAAGGTGAGAAAATAATTTTTTTTTAAAAAAAAATAAAAAGAAGTTTCACCTGGTGATTTTTACATTAAATATTAAATTTTTACATTTTACACTTTAATAATAATAATAGAATTCCGTCTACTCAATGGACTATCAAAAGTATCGATAAATATAAGAGTAGGTCACATTTACCTGCTTCATATGATTGGTGATGAAATTGTAATGTCTCGAAATTATGAAGCCTTAGCTCAACTGGTAAGAATTAATTACTTATGCTGATACTTTATTTGTATATATATTATTTATTTATAAAGGATTGAATGTGATCAAAGAAAAAAAAAGAGAAATTTGACACATTTAATCAATTGGTGAACATTAAAAATAAAAAAATTGTCAAAATTGTTTGATATATTTAGTACATTTAGTGATATTATAGTGTAAATAAAATATACCATAGATCTCAGGAATTTATTAATTAAATAAAGTTTTCGTTACATATTTATTAATCAATTTTAAACATCATTTTTTTTCTTCAAGTTCCCGTTGTTTGTTAACGTTTCTATCAAAGTACAACCACATTCGGCCTTTACTCGAAACCATCATAACACGTGCAAAGTTTTGGTCGCCGTTGAACGTATGACAATGAATGGTCACGGTGATATTCTCTCACCATTTGGATATAATTATCAACAACTAATTGATGGAACTACTGCCAGAAGAGTTGCTTTCTCAGCGGATGGACAATTATGTTGTATATTAGAAGAAGTCGAAGCTGACAAAAATAATATGAATGGCACGAATTACTTTTTTGGAGGAGTTCCTTCTGTAAATATGAATTAGATTAACGTATGGAAGTAAAAGGTGGTTTAGTAGTAAAATGTGCTAAAGGAAAAATATACATATATACAAATATATATATTTATATATGTCAAAAAAGAATTTATTTATTATAATATTTATTTTTTTTATATCAATTTTGCCAATTCTATTTTATACCCTTTTCTTACTTATTTGATTTCCCCTTATGTTAAACATATTTATTATTCGTAAAAAAAAAAGAGGGTGGAATAATTGGGATCGATGGCGAACAACGTAGTGTGCTTCCAACATTACACGCAATAACGGAATCTTTTTATCGCTTTAATTTTCATATCTATATATATATTTTTATATATAACGAAATAAATTTACAACGAAAAAGTCGAAAATATGATGGATGGATAAAAAAAAAAAACGAAACAGGGAGAAACAAACAAAAAAATAATCGAAATGTGAAATAATTAAAAATATACAGAGAAGTTATGTCTTCCCTGACAAACATTCATAAGAATCGGGGTGGTGGGCCCATTATTAAGATCTTATTTTAACCTTATTCATTAGGGTGCTAGTAATAATATATTTATAAGAATTTCATGTATGTATGCATATATGTTTAATATATTTTAATATGTAATTATTTAATACTAAGTAATTTGTTATGCAAAAAAAAAATAAAAAAAAAAAATAATAATAATAAAAATAAAGTCAAACATTCAAATTTACCTTACATTTCTCTTATATCTTATTCCTTTACGAAATAAATTCACGAAAATCATTGAAGAATTAACGAATAAGTTTTCACTTATATAATACGAAAATTTAAAAGTAGTCATAATAGCATCGTTTATAAATTCGAATTGATCCGAATATTTCTTGTAAAATTATAAAAAAAAAAAAAAAAAAAACGAACGAAAGCAAATGTGAAAGAAAAAAATCGCAAGAATTGTCTATAAGGAATCTCTGAATTACTTTTATACATAATAAATAGATACGGGAATTTTTTTTTTGTATCAGTTGAACAATTGTGTCAATAAAAGAATCAATATTTGTTACTTTTTTTTTTATTCTAACAATATAGTTCGCTGGATTCAGATGTCAAATAAACTTTATTTTGATATAAATCGGCACGATAAACTAATTAAAAATTGAATTCGCATACTGTCTATAATATTTTCTAATAATTGAAACACAAAATTCTCGAAAAAAATTAACTGATTCGAAGATATATTAGGTAACGCGAAACTTGCATATACATAAAGAAATAATAATATTATTCTAAAGTTTTATTCGCCACGTAATTTAGATCACCAATATCCTTCCCTCACGCGACCACATTAATTTTTTAAAAAAGCACATTATCAGGAACAATCTATTCACGCGACCTTATCTAGATATAAAATATTAAAAAAATTTAGTAAGATCATCTTCCCGTGTTCCCATCCCCATAAATAAATATGAGAATTTTTACATTGCGTACTTACTGAATTTGATCCAAAGAAACAAACAAACTTAATTGAAAACCTTTTTTTTCTTCTTTCTATATTGATTACAAGATAACGAAAAATACTCATTAATGATATGGTTTTGATTCAATTATTTGAATTTGAAATTTCGCTAAACAAAGTTAACTCTTTATGAAAATTTTAGGATAAATATAATAAATGTACAGAGGATCCTTTTTTTTTTTGAAGAAATTATTCATTATTCTTAATTATTCTTATCACTTGAACTCTCACTTTAATTAAACATGTATAAATTATGTATCATATGTTTCATTTATGAACTTTTGAAATACGTTTTGTAATTCAAAAGTACGTCAAGGATTTGTAATAAATGTCAATTTTGAATTTAAACATGCATGTAAAATTTCTCACGGAGATCATCATTCCACATATGTCGCTTTTTTTTTATGTTATTCGTTATCCAATTCCTTTACTTAATTAATAATTAAATAAAAGACCAAAATAATATTGACAATTGCTTATTTATCTTCTATAATAACGTTCGATATATTATTTGTACTACATGAATGATGGTTATCCGCCTTCTTAAGTTAGAAGAACCAGTTATGTAAAACAAAGATTTGAATCTTTATTATGCGCAGTTGTAATCACTTTTTAAATAATCGAACAATTGAATGAATGAATCGAGAATCGATGTATTTTGCAAATAATAATATTTAATATTATAATTTATTATGTATATTATTATTATGTATATGTATTATGTACCGTATATTCTATATAAAAGTAATGACATCAAATAATGAATAAAATGCAGAAAAAAAATTTTTACATTAATCTATTATTTTACGATCAATATGAACGATATATTTTTATTTTCTGTCTTTTTCTGATTTATGATTAGAACCTTCTCCGATTTGTGTAGAAGAATGACTCGTATTTTCATCAGTAGTATTAGTAATAATAATTTTTTGTGATACATTATCGTCAATAAGTTCATCATCATCATCTTTTTCTTCACTAATATTAACTAATACATCACTTTCCACACGATAAGGAAACGTTTCGGCTTCTTCTTCTTCTTCTTCAACAATTATATCATCGATAATTTCTTCATAATCTTTATAACGTTCATCATGATTGGTTTTAATGGGAACTCGACCAAACTCTGCCCTCAATTTTTCTTTTTTCCTAACACGTCCATGATTGTCACTTTCCAAACTCAAACTTTCAACAAAATCAATTACTGGTAATCTTGCAACTTGACTACTAATACTTGCAATACTTGGTAACCTTTCAATATCAATTCTTGAGCCAATATTAAGTATAGGTACGGTAATTCCGTGAACTATAACTGAACTTAAAACAATAAATGTCACAATTGGAAATATTATTTGATGAAGATGATGCATAACCTCTTCATCAATATCTTGACCTTCATGTTTGAGAAATTTGCTGATCTCTTTTTTGGTGAATATGGCTAAAAATATTGCACCTACTCCTATTGGTCCGAAATATCCAGCAAATAATGCTTCTTTAAAAGTATGAATAGTGGGAATAAAACCTTTAAGTGCTACAACTATAGGTAAACGTCTTAATATCAAGATCAGAATGCTAATAATGATCAAATTCTTCAAAGAAAGATCATCCGAATTGAAAGATGACCACGGAAGAATCATTCCAATATAAACGAATGTAGTTAAATTGAGAAGGATATCAATAACTTCTTGCAAATGAGCATCTTGAGTTTTTTCACGAAACCAATCACTTTATTAGTGTTATTATTGGTTTTATTATTGGTGTGATTATTGTTATTAGAATTATGAAAATTATAAAGAAAAATTAAAAATCCAAAGATAAGTTATTGATTACTCACTCCCAAGTGAAAGATGTACCAGCCGCAAAACAAGCCAAAAATGCATCTGATCCAAGAATACTAACACCGCCAACAACAAAGATCTATCAAAATCGAAATAACAAATACATAAAACATTTATAAATATATTAAAATATATCAAATGCATATATATATGTATATATTTATTTATATATATCTCTCAATATATGAAAAGAATTTACTACCGCTAATGCAAAAGCAAATACTAGAAAAGATTCTTTGTCAATCCAATCCCTAAAAAATTTTAACGTAATTTAACACGTAATTTTCTTATAAAAAAATGATTGAAAAAAATATTAAAAAATGAAGAATCAACCTACCGACTCTCAGCCAACCTTAAAAGTTTTCTTGCAGCCCAACCTATGAAAGCACCAATTGTTATTGAAAATAAAATATGATAACCCCAAACGAAATAAATCCATTTTGAAATTGCAGCATTAGGATTTCTAGGTGATTCTAACAAATAAAGTGCAAGGAAGAGAAAAGGAAATCCCATTCCTATTTATGAAGAATAAGAAGTAATTAATAAAATGATTATTAATGATTATTAATGATAAAAAAAAAAAACAATAATAATTTCTATACCATCATTTGCACCACTTTCAGCAGATAATAAGTGTCTCACATTAATTGGAATATGTTTTTCAGAGAATGATCCTTGGACAATCGAATTTGCTAATATCTAATATAATATAATATAATATAATATAATAATTAATAATAAATAAATAAATAAATAAATAATAATAATAATAACAATAATAATAATTATTATAATAATTATAATAATATATAATCATCATCATCATAATTATTCATACCGGATCAGTTGGAGTAACACAGGAAGCAATTAATAAGGTTCCTGTCTTTAAAGATAAAGAACAAAATAAATAATAAATGAATAAACAAATAAATAAATCAAATAAATAAAATTATATAAATATAAACTTACAAATGTTAAGTTTGGTATAAAATAATAAATGATGGTAGCACTACTAATCCACATCCAAATCATAACAGGTATGAGCATTATTGCCATTGAACCAAATTGACGCGTAACGTACGCTCTTAAATAATAAAATAATAAAATATTATTATTTTTAATTATTATTATTATTATTATTATTATTATTATTATTATTATTATTATTATTATTATTATTATTATTATTATTA